GAAATATCCACCTTCAGGTGCATCTGCTGATATCTGTAAATACTCAGATGAGTAAAAATGCAGACAAGATAAATTCATTTGTTCCTTACTTGTAGAGGGCATGTGGGTCTCAGAGTAGTGTACAGAGCCTGTGACAGGCAAATCTGGGAACAATCCCTCGGCTTCTTCCTGCCTCTCCTCTGCAGCTTCCTGCTTTACAGAGAGCTGCCACCCTGCTTTGGGTCAGCCTCCTCTCCCCAGTGCTGTGGCCAAGGACACGAGCCACAGATGGATGCAGACAGACAGACAAGGCAGCAAAGAGGCTGTGGCTGGCAGCATCCCAAGCACCAGCCTCAGAGCCCTGACAGCCTGACTCTGCCTTGGTGTCTGTGGGTATTTTCCAAAAAGGCGAAAAAAGCTTTCCAAGATAACTGAGTATACTGGGAGGAACCTGCCCCTCTGCATCAAGGCCCCAGGGACTTGTGCAAGCAGGGAGCAGGGCTGAAGTGGTGTGAGGCTGGCACTGCCCACGCTGCCCCATCGCAGGGAGCAGGGTCCCACAGTGCTGCTTGTCCTCCCTCACCCAGATCCTTGGGAGCATCTTTCCATGAATCCCTTTCCCTCACCATCCACTGGATCTGCATTTGATGGCAAAGGGTTGCATGCCAGAGGGACATCTCAGCTTCTCATTAATGATGAACCACCCCCTGGCACAGGGTTGCTGACACCAGCCCTTAGTCACAGTCTGGGAAGCTTTATTCAGAAAGGGCACAGAAAATGGCATTGGGAGAGGAAGCTTCAAGTGAGGCAGGAATCCTTCCCTTGAACAACATGTACGGAGATTTCTAAACCCTGGTGCAGTCTGCCAGGTCTTTGCCAGGCAGTGCAGCAGCTCAGCTGCTCACAAGTAGAGCTTTCTCATAAGCTTTTATAATTACAAAGCTTTGGGGCAAAATCGTTTCCAAACAAAAAAAGTTTTTAAGCACACACAAAACCAGGCCAGCTTGGACTCAAACAAACTCTGGCTGTTGCTCTGTATTGGAGCCTTGCCTTCCCTTAGCTTTCCTGGTTAGCCCTTCTGCATCCCAGACAAAGGGCTCTTTTTCCAGGGGGCTGTGGGTCAGGCCCTAACCTCTCCTCTGAGCTCTCAGGAAGGCATGTGGTCCCATCACCTTATGTGCAAACTAATTGAATAAATAATCTTTCCCCAAATTGCTCCTTAACTCCCTGCTTGCCATGCTGGTTGTGAGGGTCTGGCACTCTGTGGCTGTGATGTGCAGATGTAAATTCATGGCATTGATATGAGGAATAAATGCAGAAGGGAAGGGCAGTGGCTTTCTAAACGGAGTGTGATGTAGGAGTGGGTGTAAGGAGATCAGACTTCAGTTCCGCCGAGTTTCTGATGGTCCCTTCAGAGGCTGCTGAGACCCAGAACAGTTGCTGCTTTGTTGTGTCATGAACAGGGAGCTGCTAAGAGCATTCAACTGTCAGTCACCATTAGCTTTGTCTCCCTCATTTTATATGGTCCTTGTTTTATATAGACACTGATGTGATTTTGGAATGTGAGGCCTCATTTACAAAAAGTCTGAGACTACAACTGCTCTTGAAGGCAATGTGCAGGATACCTGTAGGATGTTAAATGCCTGAAAAAATCTGTTCCAAACAAGTCCTCACCAGTATGTTCTGAATGAGCCTCTCTGTAGCTCAATTCCCCACCTGTAAGAGGTGGATTTCAGTTGCTCTGAAAAGGAGTTTGTGAAGGCCCCAGATATTTTAGTGATAAGCAGCAAAGAAAAGACTGTCAAGGGAATCAGTAATTCTGTTTCTAGGGCAGGGCTGGAGCAGAGTGTAATCAATAAGACATACTGACTCAGGAGGATAAAACACACAATGGGACAACTCAGCAAGAAGTGCCTTCCTGTTGTTATGGACGGTGCTAGGAGGAACACACACAACAGACTGAGAATCCTAAGAGCCTCAGCAACATTGGAGTTGTCTAACTTTTAAATGCTTGATTTTGCAATGTTGCTGATGTTCTTTAGCACAGGAGTATTCCTGTGTGTCTATGCAGTGAGGATTAGGGCACCACATGGAGTTACTTGGATCCTAGCTGGTGTGCCATGGAGCCACCTGTAATGTGAAGTTGATATTTCTCTCACCTGAAGTGTACACTGGGGCAAAGCTACATTATTTTGGTGAGACACCCAGAGAACACAGCAGTGAAGTAAATAACATACTACCTGCAGACACTGAGCAAAGCCGTGGGGATGTCCTGGAGGAAGGAGAGAGCTGGCTGGCTGGAGGACAGGCCATGCAATCACCCATCTTCCCTTCTTATTTGTGACCTGTACTTCTTGCCACTCCTTCTTGTATGGCCAACTCTTCCCCTCTTCTTAGGACAGCTCTTCAGACCCCACAGAGTGCATGCCTGTGGTGTTCTCTGCTGGATTTCATTTGCAAACAGAAAAAGATATGGTGAAGTTTTTCACTTACATCCCCCTTATTCCACATCGTGTCTGTGCTCAGCTGAGTCGGGGTTAGTGAAGCTAAGGTTGGTGCCCTGGATTCCTCTATCAGTTCTGTTCTGCTGAGCCACAGGAACAGGGAAGCAGGCAGAGTTCATGGCATGCAACCTTCCCTTTCCTTGCAGCCTGGGGGAAGTGGGAGATAAAGTATTTAATTCCAGCTAAACCAGCCTAAAATGACTTGGGCTTTCAGTCTGACTCTGTACACAGTGTGACCATTTGCTGTACGATTCACTGCAGCTCTAACAGCTATTCCAAGTGTTTTGCAGAAGAAAGAAACTTACTTTCTTACTACTTTAGTTACTAGTTACCAAAATAAAACTGCAGCAACAAACTGTTCAGCATAACAATATCTTGTTCATGGGAGCTATGAAACGAAGCACTTGCCAAAGCACAAAGGAATCTGTAGTTTAAACACAGGCTGGAACTGGATGTTATATAGAAGCTGAAGTGATACCTCTGGTCCTGACAAGGAATGCTCAGGCAGAAATTGTCTCTCTGCTCTTGCAGGTTCATGATATCAAATTTCAAGCTTCAACTTTGGAAGAAAAGGAATCGTGGATAAAAGCCCTTAATGAAGGCATCAATAGAGGCAAAAACAAAATATTTGATGAGGTAAGAGAAACAGTTTTCAGACTCCTGTGTTTCTGTGTCAGTTCTCACCCATGGCTCCTTTAGCTAAAAGCAGAACTTGCCTGAGCCCCTGTTTTCCCTGTCCTTCCTCCATGCCCAGAGAAAGAGAAAGACATTGTATAAGGCAAGGCAGGTTCCTTCTCGTCAGGCTGGAGCTTTTAGCCACTTCAGTTCCCAGTTCAAGAAGGCAGTAAATGTAGAGAGCCATTTGCATCCTCCTACACTTTGCTGCCTTTACCTCTCTCCTGGCTGGGTTAGGTGTTGGGATGCAGGAACAGCTGGATGAGGAGATGGTGTGCCAGAGGGATGGACTGTGCTGCTAAGATAACAACTCATCAAGAGGCCCACGGGACACAAGAGCTCACCAGGTCAGGGGGAGATGGTCTGGTGACTTCAGTGGGCTTGGGATTAGATAATTCATGGGAGTTCCCTTCTTGCAATGCTTCCATTCAGCTTCAGCTTCAGCTGGTGCAGAGAAGCAGCTGCAGTGCAGCATTATGTAGAGCTGGGATACAGCTTGGAGAGACTCTTCGTCCCTTGCTGCCATGATCCTCTGCACCAAGCAGCCTGGAAACAGAGGTATTTGGTTAGGACATAGCCCAGTCTTCAGACTGGGAAAATGTGAAGTGTCTCAGTCCAGCAGCTATTCTGCCTGTAGCCTGGAGAGAAGTCTGGTGGAAAGTTATTCCATGGCCCCAGACAAACCTGCCTGTCTCTCAGTTAGCCCCAGCACACCTGCACTCCCAGATTCTCCTCCCATCCTGCTGCACAGAGGGAAGGATGAAGACTGCGCATCCTAGAGCCTGTTTAGCCTTGCCCTGCTCCCAGTTAGCTTGTGGATCAGCTCTGAGCTAAACCAAAGGAGCAGTATCTCCTCTTGTGTTGTTTCAGTAACTGAAAGGAAGTGCACAAAACCACCACCATGGGAATAACACAAGAAGGAACAGGCAGGGTGAGGAGGGACAAAACAATCAGCAAGATCTGTTTAGCAGAGTAAACCAAAGCAATGAATTTGAGCTTTGAGTAAAGGGCTAAGTGCTGCAGATACAGTGCTGGAGGTGTGAACTCTGAGAGCGTGGGCTTCGCTTTTATTCAGCAGAGTGCAAAAGGTGGCTATGGTGGGCAGTGAGCAAGCACTGCAAGGTGGGATCTCAGGTCTGCCCTGTGGCCTGGCGTTATGCGCCTTACAAGGACCTCAGAGGTTCTCAGAGGGAGCCAGCATCTAATGCTCATTCATTCCAGTAAGGATCAAACCTCAGATTTAAAGTGTTTCCACACAGGCCAGGCACAGGCTAATGGGTCAAAGCTCTCAGCTGGCTTGGATTAGCTTTTCTCCTCTGAAAGAGCTGTAAAACCACTGTGCCATATCAGCCAAGGATTGGGACCCATTTACCCCTTTAAGTCCCTATTTCACCCTCGCCAGCTTTTCTACTGTACAGGCTTGTGGTATCAAGGACATGCAGATGTTTCACCATCCCCAGTCACTGGTGCTGCTCCTCTGCAAGGAGCAGGCTCCAGCCCTCAGCCATTGCAGTGTGGTGGGTGGGTGGTCACAGAGCCAACACAGAGAAATACCTGTCAGGGTGCTGGGACCTCCCTCCCTACATGCAGGAGGCAGCGGATTTCTCGTCTGATTCCAAGATATAAATTTACTAATTCAGCTGGAGTTGCAATTAATCCAGGTCACTGCTCACACCTTCTCTTCAGCATCCTGCAGTCATTAGAGCTGTGGAAGGGAAAGGCTGTAACGAAGAGCTGCTGATACAGTTCACCGTCAGGTCACAGTTATTAATGAGCTTTCACCTTTAAGATGGTAACAGCAGTTTCATTGCTGTGCTCTGCCACATGCAGGAGCTGGTCCAAACATGGGGTGCAGTGAGGACAACAAAGGTCCTTGTGTCCTTCCGTCCCTGCCCCTTAGGTGGAGGAGAATTTAGCCATTACAAACCTCTGAGACCTTAAATATCCATCATGTATGTGCAGGGCTTTGCAGGGAGGCTGTAACTGAGCTCTGAGGCAAAGAGTAGTGGTGAAATATTCATCTGAATGCTTCCTCCCTTCATGTGTGACACTGAGAACATTATGGACATATCTTGACAAATTGATGACCCTCTTCCTTTTTTTCTTTCCCTCCTCTTCCCTCTGCTAAAGGTGAAAGTGGATGAGAGCCTTTCCTTGGACCACGTAACTCGGGACAGAGTGAAGGTGTCCCATGGGCGCAGACCACCCACAAGAACTCACCTAAAGGAGGTAAGTGCACTCCACTGGAGTGACCCGTCTTCCCAGCTGGGATCATCAAGGGCTGCTCCTTCCACTCAGGTACAAAACCCTCAGGTACAGACAGTCCAGAGAAAGCCAACAAGGAAAATAGCTACCCCTGGAAAAGACTGCACCAGCACCTCTCCAGGTTCCCATAGATCTGTATCTGCTGCAGCTTGTTACCATATATTTAGCTTTTCATAACTCGTGAGCTGCTTGACCATCTGGTGAGAGCCATTATAGTTTCATTTTCATCAGAAGAGACCAAACCTCCTATATTTATTTTCTAAGACGTGATGATTTTGTAGCCACAGTGGTCTGAAGGCAGAACTGCACAGCACATGGGCAGAAGCTGTATTTTTATTAAGCTAACTGGAGAAAGCAGATGAGCTTTCAAGCTTACAAGCCCTTCCTTAGGTCTGAAACAGAATACATTATTCTCCCAGGCAGTTTTATAGACTAACCTGTCTACTCGTAACTGATTTTTTGGATCTGTCACTTATAAAAACAGAAAGAAAAACCACAAAATAAACCTGCAGTTCATTTCCATGAGAGAGGTTCTTACTAATGTTTGATTCCTGTGATTTATGAAAAGGTTTCCAGACAGATTGATATTTTAGCAGAGCATTAATCTCAACCAAGGAAGGTTTTTAAATCAAACCTTCTTTCTTCAGACTTCCAAGACTCTGACTTATGTGCCTGCACAGCACTTAGATGACCCTTGTGCAGAAAATGAGATGCCTTGAGACTTTTTATTTTGCATAGAAATGGAGGGAGAGTGTCTCTTCCAGAGAAATGCATGGGCATGAATCACAGATTCCCATCCACTCCTCCAGAAAACCGCAGAAGAAAACATGACAAAAGTCACAGCAGCAATGTAGTGTGGATTCTTTGTTGCCTAATGTGGGTTCAGCAAGGTGGGAAGCCCTTCCCTAGGCACTAAAAAGATACCTCTTCCGTGCTCAGATCACTATTTTAATGAGATACCTCCAAGCTTAATACCTACAAGACCTCTCACCTTCAGGGAAATTCAGGGGAAACTGGCTTACAAATTCAGAAGCAGAAATGAGTGGAAAGGGAGGGGATGGAGCCTGCAGAAAGATGTGTATCACAGCTGCTGGCTGCAGATTGGTGAGGGAAATGGGATGAATGATGATTTTCAGTGTCAAAGCGGTCCAGGTGAGGATGGGTCAGGGCCAAGCTGCCAGGATGCAGCTTGCCTCAATCTCTGTGATGGGCTGGAAAGGCAAAGAGAGGCTTTAACTAAAGTCTGTGCACTGCAGGAGCCTGGCCCTGGCTGCAGCTACGCCTTCCTGTGGTTTTGGGTTCCCTCACACAGGAACTGTCACTGCGTTTCTCCCTCTGGGGCACTGAGCTGACACGCTGCAATGTCTTTGCTAAGTCCATCCTTTTTAGGAAAACCTCCCTACTAGAGTGATTTGCACACAGCCTGTGGTCTGAAGGAGGCTTAACCAGCTGAGGCTTGGCCTCAGTAAAATGGGGATGACATCAGGTTGGAGGAAGCAAGCAATAGGCAATGGTATTACAATACCATTGCATTGTAATACCAGCATCCCTGGCCAAGTGATCTAAAGATCAACTTGTTTTATATGTTCAAGTCAAAATATGACAGTCCCAAAAGCAAAAAGCAGATGAGACTTTAGGTAGGCATGTTGTAAATGAAAGGGGCAGAGGGATCCAGCTACCACAGGATAAGGAATTAAAATATGGCAGAGCTGAACATGAGCACTGAAAGAAAAACCAAGAAATAAGGTTAGTGCAGAATAAGCCTTGACATGTTCTTCTCAAAGGAAGTAGTAAAATAAGTTGTGTGCTTTTCATAGATCATAGAGTGGTTTGGGTTATAACAGACCTTGAAGGTCATTTTGCTCAAACCCTCTGCAGGGAATCTTCCAGTAGACCAGGCTGCTCAGAATCCCATCCAACCTGGCCTTGAACACTTCCAGGGGTGGGGCAGCTACAACCTCTCTGGGCAACCTGTGCCAGTGCCTCACCACCCTCATGGTAAATAATTTCTTCCTAATATCTAATCTCAACCTGCCCTCCCTCAGTTTAAGGCCATTCCTCCTTGTCCTTGTGAAAAGTCCCTCTCCAGCTCTCTTGGAGCCCCTTTAGGCACTGGATGTGTCTGTACGGTTTCCCTGAAGCCTTCTGGTCTCCAGGCTGAACAGTCCCAGCTCTCTCAGCCTGAAGCAGCAACCCCTTGCTTGCCATACTGGGTTGCAAGGGTCTTGCACTTTAACTTGAAGCTAAAGGATGGAGCAAAGGATTGATGATGAGATAGACACTGAAAACTTTCTCTCTTGTATTTCAGGCTGCCAAGTGTACATCAGATGGTATCTTGAGACTAGACCTGGATATGGTAGACAATGGACCACCAACCTTTGATTCCACTATCAGCGAAAGTGACAATGCACCACCTCAAAAAGAAACTCCAAAACCACCTATGCCACCTACAAAACCCACTGGCATAAAAGAAAACCAAGAGGCAGAGAACAATGTTCCTGACCAGGAGCATAAAAAACCTCTGTCTCCTCCCTTGCCTCCAGATAAGAAGCTCAAGGAAGGCCTCGCATCAAAGGACAGTGTAAATACCAAGGAAGAGGACTCTGTAAGCCCAGCAGAGAATATGGAAGGATCCCAAGCACCAAGTGAGGAGAACAAGGAGAACCATATTGAGGTCAGCAACAGGGGCATAGCAAAACCTCCAATTCCACCTCCTAAGAGTGTGCCAGACAAGCTAAAAGTAGCTTGGGACCAACCAATCACTGAACCTAAAAAGACAGAAGACTTGAAATCATCAGGAGTTGATAGCAAAGACAATCTGGCTGAGATTGCTGCTGCAGATGATGTTACAAAGCCTCCTGTTCCTCCTAAGGTTGTGTCAGAAAAAATGGTTGCCACAGTGAACTCCAGCCATGCTGACCTGAAAGCTGGGGGCAGGGAAGAGCTGGAGTCTGGCAGCTCCAAGCCCCCAGTGAACGGGATCGCAGCCAGCGAGGTAGCAGAGTTCACATCCCCAACAGCTGAAACAGAAGAAGGAAATGGGGGAACTGCTGCTGAGAAGGAACAGCAAACTTCAGCAGAAGAGACAGAGACTTCCTTAGCCACAGAAGCAGACCATGAGACTGTAAAAGCAACTACTGAGAAGACAAATCCTACAGAAAGCACTTCAGGTCTCAAACTTCGCAGTTCTTCTCTGGGAAATTTGCTCTCCGAGTCCAAAAATAAACAGGGTGCACTTCCAGGCCAAGGATTCCCGAAGGATTCCCATCAATGCTTAGCTACAATGGAGGAGAAAGTTGCTAATGAAAGGGAAAAGGCAGAAAAACTTCTGCAGAAGGTTTTACGTGAAGGGCTGGAACAGGCCCAGGAGGGGAATGGACCCCCAGTGATGGCAGAGACCTTGCTCAATGAGGCAGTGGAACAACTTCGGCAAGCTACACAAGTTTTGCAAGAAATCAAAGGTCTTGGAGAACTGAAAAAAGAAGCAACACAGAAACAGAAAGAAAAGCAAAAGGATCTAGTGACTCTTTATAGGAGAAGTGCTCCCTGACATCCTCTGCAAAGAGACTTCTTTCTCAAAATCAAAGCTAAACATTTGCCATTTATGATTTGTACCATTGCTAGGCCAGTGTCTAAGGGTGGTGTTTTGCTGTGCACATACCATGTTTCTGGGACAGAGTCGAGCTTTCAGTTATAGCATCTTTCTCTCTTTCTTCATGTTGTACATACCAGTCTGGTTCTAATCCTCTTAGCACAGCAGAAGGTTACAGGACAGTGAACAGTTTGAAAAATGTGAATGCTCTTTGAGGACTCTGTCCAAAGTCCTTTCAATGGATCAGGCCTTAAAAATTACTGGTAATCAGACCAAGCCAGATTTTTGAAAGGAGCAGAATGGCTATTCTAGCAAAAGTCCCTGTCTTTCTGTATTTACAGACAAGCAGATACCAGAGTACACTGGCACCTATCTGGTTTTCCCAGTTAAATCATTCAAGGATAAATGTAGTCAGTGTTTGTTCACTTGCTGGCAAGGGTTCCCAGACCACCTGGCCCAATGACATCTAGGAATGTAAAGATAAATGGTTTAATCTTTTCCAAAGATACTCATAAAACCACATCCACAGTTAAAAAGTGACCTCACACAGAAGCAAACCAAACTGGCCAACTCCTGACTCCAAGCAGTGTCCCTGATCTGGAGCAGCTGTATGAAGGCACTCTGAGACTGGCTCTGCAGAGCTTTAGGTGTGCTGAGCACTGTGTGTGTGAACACAAGGCTCAGTGCACCATTGCCAGGCAAGTACTGATTGTTCCTCTTTCATTAATAGGGAAATTGAGTTACACTTGGCCTGTGAGGGGTCTTGTAGCAGCACAACATGGTTATTATTGAGGACTACACCTATCTAGTAACTCTGAATCCTCTCAGCATTGTTGGGAACAATCAGCTAGGTATTTGGAAAACTTGTGTCCAGGAGATCCCCAGGAGCTTCCTAGGAGAGCTGTGACTGAGAAGCTTTGGAGATGTGAGTTCCTCCAGTGTTGTCTTGAGGTGTAACTGACAGGATCATTCACATCAGGCAGTGGGTTGGATGAGATCCCTCTTCCCATTGAATACGTCTCTGTCTGCTGTGTCCTGGCCAGCCTGACAGCCATGGTTTAGCCCAGACCTCTGGAAATGGCATACATGGAGGGAAGGGCATTTTGCACACACAGCTTTGGGGCAGGTCCCAGTGCCTTGAGTATATTAAAATCAAAATGCATTGCTACAGAAGGGTCTGAGGAAGGCTCTGGCATGATTCCCACAGTTTCCCTGCCCATCTGCTTAAAGCAGCCACAGTTCCTGTGGTCTTTAGGGATCTGAGCTGTGATAAATCATGTCTTTGCACCACTCTGTGTAACCTTGTACCTGAGCTGGGTCCCCTCCCATAATCTCTATAGTTGCTCTGAGGAGAATCGTGTGACAGTCCAAAGGACTTCTCCTTTGCTGAGCCAGACTCTGGAAGCATGGAAAAGGACTATCTTCCCGGTCTGATTTTAAGGAGTGACACGCTACCTTGACTCATTATTCTCATTTGACAGCACTTCCCTTAGCTCATCCATTTCATTTTTGTCCAATTTCCCAGGTTCCACAAGACTGCAGTGGGCTGCAAACATCCCCATAGCAGCACTGAAGCTTCATCTGAGCCTCCTCTTAGGCTAGGCACTTCAGGTCTGAGCACAGAAATGTTTGCTTTGGGCTTCCAAATATCCTATTTTCACTACCCAGAGCCAGTCAGACACATAGTGACTAGAACTGATACTTCTGTCTGTTTTGATTAAACCAGTCTTGGTTTCAATGGTCTCTTCCCTTCTCAAGACAACCATAGACATCACATGGGAATTCACTTGTTATTCTGTCAAGTGGAAAGTTCTACATAGTCAAACACTCAGGGCTCAGGTGCCAAAAAGCTTTGCATTGAGACAAATGTTTCCTATGTCCTAAACCCACCCCCAGGCACACAGCCTGGAGCAAACTCTGGATCTGTGTCATTTGCTGCTGTAGATTCAATGTGAACCGTAGGTCGTATTCACCTTTTCAGACACACTTAGGACAAGGGCTAAGAACACAGACAATATTCAGTGCCTATCTGCTATCTAAATGTATTTTTCTGCATGTGCACTTTTGTTTACCGAACACTGTGTGATATGAATGTGAGCTGGCAGAACCTGGTGTGCACTGGAAGTGGAGGGACATCAGCTCCAGGGAGCAGGGCAAGCTTTGGCAAGATGCAGGTCTATAACAAGAGATAAATTAGATGGGGAAAAACAGTTCATACTAACAGGAATACACACAAACCAGGGCAAACTCTGGGTACAGGTTTATATCCCAAGGCTAAGCCAATCCTAAACTCCAGGATGGGCAAATCAAGGTCTGGAACTGAAATCCAGGGAATGACAAGAGCTTTGGGGGTAGCTCAGTCCTCTAATTTATATACAAATGCTTTTGCTCTCACAAGTGTTTTCTTGTGGCAGTGTGTTCTGTGGATACTCATCTGGCAAAGTGCTGATGAAAATACCCAGAGATTCGTATCTGTCACAGCCAAACCTACAGGATGTGCTTATATTTACGGTATATTTTTTATATTATACTGAATATTCTAATGGATAAATGTCTGACATTTTACTGAATACCCATCAGTAGGAATCCTAACAGATAAATACCCTATATCTGTTAGGAAATGGGCAAGTTAAATCATTTTACAAGCTACAGCTAAGTACTGTATATGCTGAACTAACAGAACTTACTAAATTTGTATTATGTCTTGTAAATAGGTATAACTTAAGTGAAATCTCTGTAGCACCCAGTAACTCTCCTGCTGCGAATGCTTTGTTAGAGACTCTTGGTTTTAACTATTTTTTCTAACAGGGTTAACAGTTTCATCCTTAAACATCCAGCCTTCTACAGCAAGTCCCATCTTCAGTGTACATCCTGCCACCATGCACTTTGTTAAATCTTCCTTTAAACTTAAATTTAACCTTGCATCTAATTTCCGGCTGCACTAGGGCTGGTGTTTTTTGTGCCTGAAAAGCCTCTGGGCATGGAGCACTGGGGTGTGAGTCTGCGTTTTGGGCTGTGCCACCAGGTTACATGTCTGTGACAGGAAGGAAGTGAGTTTGCAAGCGAGCAAGTGTGGATGATGATCTGAAAAGCAGCTGCTGCAGCCCGTGGAAAGGCAGCACTTTGTCTCCTGCTTGTAAAGAGCTTTGAGATTGGCAATAAAACCTCCTTTTAAAAATCTGCTGTTTCAGAGCCATTTGTCCTAAAGGGGAGCAAGGAAAGGCCACCAGAAGCAGCACATTAAGGCTTTGCTCTGGAGGAGGGAAGGTTGCACAGGCTGTGGTCAGGCTGGGGTGTGCTAACCACAAGCCTGGAGGAAGGAGAAGCGCTGGGGGCTGCAGCTGGCACAGAGCTGGAGCTGCTGCTGCAGACAGTGCAGTTCCTGACTCATCCCTGCCAGCCAGCTTGGCTGCCTGGGCCAGAAAGCATGGCCAAGGCCAGGATCTCCTTCCGGAAAGCAATGGGAAACATCCTCATTTCTGGAGACCGGACCAAGTACAGTCTCCAGCAATGCGGGCTGGGCTGTCCTCATCTTCATGTGGACTCTCTGGTGTCTACAAAATGTGGAGCCTACTCAGCAGTCATTCCCTTGGTGGTGAGCAACACCAGAGCCTCATTCCTCTGCCTGGATGCCAGGAAGCTGCAGGAAGAGAAGGAGCTGGTATCACAGTGACTGCTTCCCCTCTGCAAAAACTGGGCAGAAACTGGTCAGTAGGTTACAAGGAAGCAGGGAAAAGAGTGCAAGCATATGCACCAGCCTATTGCAAAATAGGAACATTCATTTGGGTAGAAAAATGTGGTTAGCAAACACTCTAACCCCTTGCTGAAAAAGGGGCTGTTCCTCAGAGGAATGTCTAAGACACAGGGGTGATATGCTGTAGAATAAGGCACTTTACTCTTCTCACACTAAGAAAACTCAGAACACATCACATTTTGGCCTTAAATTGATGTTGGTAACAAAGGAAAGTATCTATCACTATTTGAAACAATTTTTAAAAATGCAAAAGAAAGCATACATAGTATTGGCATATTGACCATTTGTCTGACTGCTTTTAATTGAATGGATATTCACTGGTTATTGGTTCAAAGAGTCTGTGTTATTATGCAATCTGAAATAGAAAATGCAGGTCCTTGGTTCCTTGCAGTGATCCTACAGAACATAGTAATTTGCAACTGAAAAAGAGCAGCAAGAGCTCTTCTCGTCCCAGGGGGCCAAAAGATTTACTACAGCCTTGGCTAGTCTACTCTGATGACTAATTATTCTTGCTATTAAAAACTGTGTGTTTTATCTTAAATATGAGTCATCAGCAGTGAAGTTCTCCAAGATTTCCCCTTTCCAGTTTAAGAGTCAGAAAATTTGTAGACACAGAAGATACCCACCGTGTTGAGAGAATGGAGATCCCTGTTTTGTTATGCTGTGAAAATTCACACACTTCAGAAAGCCAATGCTTAACTTATTCCAGGAAATTTAGTCACCATGTTCTTCTAGTTCCTTACCTCACGGCTAAGCAACCCACAGTATTCCTGTGACAACCACTGATGGGATATTACAAAACATCCCTAATTTCATTCTCAGCAGCAATCCTGATGTCTGAGATCAACATGAGGTACTTTAAGCCATGTACCTTCCACCCCCTCCTGAGTATTAGGGACCCAGTCCCATCAGCTTCCCTTCAGGGAGCAGCTGGAGGCTGAGCCCCCACACCTCCTGCTCTGGAGTTAGTCTCCTCTGCCTGAGCTAACCCAGCTTGGCAGTTCAAAGATTGTAAACACAACACGTGAAGAAATGGGGAAGGAATACTACCTTAAAGCATTTCTGCTAAAGCTGGTGCATAAAGCTCATGTCTTCACACCTATAGAAAAAAAAAACCCTGTGGAATATTACAAAATGCCTTTTGAAAGAAGTTATTGCAGGAGGGATGGATGTCAACAGCTTATCACATCAACTAGGTAAAGGA